TGGGTAGATTAGCCAATAACAATTTTAAATATTCACACCAAAACAAATTCACCTCCCGGGAAGTGATAGTTCCCATGGCCTACATGCAGCCGTTTTACAGATGGTATCCCTCCACTTTCTCAGGCAAATAGGACCAATTTTTCAACGGTAATTTTATCAAGTCTGCCCTCAGATGGAAGCCCAAAATCCAGGGAGTTAAGTCTCGGCTATATTCACACAATCCGACCCTCCCTTTTACCCCCCCCCCAAAAAAACAGCCTCCTTTTCAAAAACAGTTGGGTGTTGGGGGAGCACTTTTGATGCTAATGAGCTCGCGTAGTAATTCTCATAAATTAGTGCGCACCCAACTTCCCCTTACATGCATGCGGCAAGTGAACGTTTTTGTGGCAGTGGTGTATCTTAGGGACTGTATATTATACCTTGATCCATAGTAGAAAGCAGCATATTGCAGTTCACATACCAAAATGGCAAAGGCCACAGCTTTCCTATCGCTTTGCTTTGTTGCTGTGAAACTGGGTTTGGCTCAAAACTACGATGATAACTGTGCTAAGGTTCTGATCATCGGCGGAGGTGCGGCAGGTTTGCAAGCCGCCAAGAAGTTCCACGACCAAGGTATGGATGATTTGATCATTATCGAAGCTGCTGATTTCTTCGGTGGGCGAGTCCACGATGTTACTTTTGCTGGGGTGCAGGTTGAGGCTGGGGCTAACTGGGCCCAGCCCCCGGGTACCGAAATCATCGACTGGGTCGAGAGACTCTCCATCAAGTACCACGAATCAGACTTCGACTCTGTCATCATCCGCAACGAGACCGGGCACGATGTGAGCGAAGAAGCTGATCCGATCTGGGAAGATATGGAACACGCCTTGGAGCGATTGGAGGAGATCGGTAGCGAGTTAAACGAAGAGTGTCGTGAAGACATTTCCCTTCGAGCCGCCCTTCGTCTAGCCGGCTGGAAACCCACAACACCAATCCATAAAGCCATCGAATTCTTCGACTTTGATTTCGAGTGGGCAGATATCCCGGCCGTCACCTCCCTCAAATCTACTACTCCTATCCAGACAATCTCTGCCACAGGTGGCAACTTGTTTGTCACTGACCAGGGCGGCTTCAAACGCATCTTTGAGGAGATTACACCTTGGCTTATGATGGATCCTTACAAGAATCATCTTCGCTTGAATAAGACTGTAGTGTCGGTCACCGATAAATCAAGTAACGGAGTGGAAGTGAGGTGTGCAGACGGCACCGTCTACACAGGAGACCATGCCCTTGTCACGGTTAGTCTTGGAGTCCTGCAGAACGACGTCATTGACTTTCAGCCAGCCCTCCCAGACTGGAAGATTGTCAAAATATTCCAATTCATCATGGCATCCTTTGCCAAGGTCTTCGTCAAGTTCCCAAATCAGTTCTGGGATGATGATGAGTGGATCATGTATGCCAGCGAGCGTCGTGGCTACTTTCCCGCCTTCTCTAACCTGAACGCTCCTGGACTGTTTCCGGCTGGTACTAACATCCTCGTAGGCTTCGTGACTGGAGATGAAGCCCGCAGGATCCAGAACCAACCCCTGGCCGAGACCAAAGCTGAAGTTGAGGCTGTGATGCGCAACATGTATCCCGATGCCACAGTCCCCGAGGCTACAGCTATCTACGTGACTGATTGGGACACCAACCCGCTTCACTACGGCGCCTACTCCAACTGGCCAGTTGAGGTCTCCACCGAGGGTTTTAAGCAGATCCAGTCCCGTGTTGGGAACATCTTCTTTGCTGGCGAGCACACTGATCCGATGTTCAATGGGTACATCATTGGGGCAACTCGTAGCGGTAAACGTGAAGCTGAGAAGATCATGGCCTGTATGAATGGGGAGGAATGTCCGGCTTACGAACCGCCTGAGTCATACTCCTGTCCTACTGGTAATAACAAGTAGTAATGGCAATGATGGCAACATTGTAACGTTGTCTTTCACTGCAATCTGCCTTGCTGCAACACTCCACGCTTTCCTGGCTTTGTAACAAATTCATTAAAAATGAGTCAATTCCAATATGTACACTATGGTCCAAAGGATATTGTGCACTTTTCTTAAAGCAAGACACTGTCCACGGGGGTTTATAGCTCATGGGACATTATTGCATTCGTTTGGGGCAAGGATACATTTTAATAGGTGGAAAAGCCCGATTGTAATAGGGAGAGCGTTTGTTTCCGACACTTAGTCTTATATTTATATTTTACTAGTCGCATGATAGATCAACAGCTTTATATGAGGCTGATGAGGTTAATTATCATATTATCTTTTTTTTTGCTTGAGACAAGTTTGCTGCGACCACCAGGGACAAAGCGTGACCTAATTAACCCCCTTTTGCATATTATGTTTTAACACAAGACTGTGCACAATCTATGAAGCTATTTGGTAAACTTCAAGGTTCTCTCCTCTTTTATTTTTGAGAAAAACATATAAACTGGAAAACCGTTTACAAACCAACAAACAAACTGCATTACTTTGTAGACATTTTTAATTGAATAGAGCCGTTTGTTATATCTTAGCAAATATTCACTGAGAAACATCTCGAACAACTTACTTCACAAACCAATAAAAAACTGAGTTATTTTGTGGATATTTTCAAGGGGCTAATGAAATAGAATTGTTTGGTATAACTAGGCAAATATCCACTGAGAAACATCTCCAACAACGTACTTCACATTAATAGTTAATGTTGGTTGAGTGTGCCTTTTTCGGTTTCTCTTTGTTTGTTATTTAGCAGCGTGTACGCATTTGTAACAATGCACACTTTTAATCGTAGATGTTTTAACACGCCCCAAATAGATATAAAACATTAACTTGCACGATTTCGTTTGCACCATCATTTTCAAGGCAAGCAAAACATTTGCGGTTTTTTTTATTCAGCGTTATTCAACGTTGTTCGTTTGATTTTCGCACTGGAATCACCACTCGGTTAATGGGTTTAATTTTGGGCAACAAATCTGATGACCACTGATGTAATCTTGGGACTTGTTTGTGTCTTTCTGCATTTCACGGATATCTCAAGACGATTTCTATAATTTAAAAACGGTTAAGGGTTGCCAATTATATACTTTATATTTATTTTTAATAGTTATATCAATTATTTTTATTAAAAAGTTATATCATTTTGATTATCAATTACTGTCAGATATTTAAATATGGAAATTAATTGAACTGCTGCCAACTGCTCACTGACTGGGTTGACCTTACTATACAAATGGAAAACAAAACTAGTGGCATGATATTTCAGCTTTATCGGGCCTTCTTCAGAGGTAAAAAGCTATTTAAAATAAGTATTTTGCTTTCAGCTTGAAACATTATTTAACCAACAGAGAAAATAAAGAATATACGGGCATGTTATTCTCTGTCTGCAGTCGTCACTCTTACTGTGCAAGTCTTTGTTGGGTCTGATCTGCCCAATTAATTTAGGCCTATTTGTAAAATGGCTAAGTTTAAAGGGAAGATACAACATTTGCAAACATCACGAAACGAAACGATCAAATTATCACGAAATACCTTACTGGATTGTTAGGGAATGACAGTCCTGTAAAATCGTGGCTCCTGGTGTGCTGACATTTTCAAGAAAAATGGTATTTTTTCCAACGCTGGTCGGCCGACCAGCTTTGAAAAAAACTGACTATTGTTCAAAAATTTCCCAAAGTCTATAAATTGCTCCTTCATCTTAAGTGGGGTCAGGGAACCAGACTACAAGAACATGATTGGTTTTCTTGGTTTTTCCACCATCTACAACCCCAAAACGTGAAAAAGGGTCATTTTAACAACATTTGCTATAACATACTCATCCTCCAAATCGATTTATTTCTGAAAATTGCAGCAAAATCAAATGTTGTACATTCCCTTTAATAAGGATCGCAATTACTGATGATGACTGAACTACTACGGGCCAAGACTTGATCCCTTCAGGACAACTGAACGTTTACACATTTTCTTTTTCTTGGGAGCTGTATTTGGTTTGTGTCCAGATCTAAATTGCCTTGAATTGGACCTCGCACATGATCTTGGGTTTTGAGTGCACTCACGGGGTCAGATTGTTCTCCTATCGCCGATATAATAATGAATGACTCGATCTAGACCTATGGTGGCGACTCTCTTTTAAATTTGAAATATAGGTGTACACCCTCCATTGCAATGCACAATAAAGTTGAAAGTTATAGTCTTCATCCAGCCAGGAGCATGACTGATGGCCATTTTAATAGGCTTTAAACCGAATTTGTGATAGCGCCCTCAACTGCAATATCCATTTTGGCGGTGAATGATCTCATACAACTATAGCTCGTACTCCCAGCCATGCAACCAGGGCAGGGTTCGAGCGAAGTCATACAACTACACGTAACTCATAAAACAAATCACTTAAAATAAGACACGTAGTGCCACTTTGATGTCCAAAATCACCCCGTATAAGCCAGACGTCAAAAGTCTTGAGCCAGATCAGTGTCGGTATTCTGAAATAATTATAATTCCGCTTTACGTTATAAACCGCCTGGCCACCATCTCGATCACAAGTTACGTTTGTCTCCCTCAAACGACTAGGCACTGGAGGCAGCTGGGCACAACCTCGTTCCAAGGGTGTCGAGCAGTACGCGCCCACTACTACCTGCTCTCTCACCCTGGTATTGGATCATTTGCATGTACAAAATATTTGAATACATATGCAAATGAGGAATAGTATTGGATCATTTGCATGTGCAAAATATTTGAATACGTATGCAAATGAGGAATAGTCTAGTGCCGTCCTGTGCTTTGCATCAGCGTTTGATTTTTGTAAGAGGTATATCTGGGGTAAAAATAGAATCAGTTCGTCGCGGTGTGAGCATGGCGTGAGTTACGAAAACACGATTTAATTTTTTTTTGAATTACAATGTCACAATCTTATCAAGTCAATGTGGACGATCACATTTCATGTTAATATGAACAAATGGAAAGGAACTTATTATTTGAAAGATGGTGTGGACGTAATAATTACAATGAACGTGAAAACACGCGGTGTACGTTGGAAATAACTGCGCTGCTGCCCCTGACGAAACCACCAAATAAGTGGACCGGGGATCGATGCGCGCTGGTGACCACGACGGAACATTGTCACGAAACAACTAACATAATAAACACATAAAGCCCACTTTTACTATAGTGCCCGATAACTCATGAAACTAACAAATCCAAATCAAAATGTAGTCATGGAGCACATTATTTAATGTGAAACTCTTTTAAAAGTCTTTATCCAAATTGAAGCCTGATAGGCCTACTTCCTTTATTTGACATTTTCCATAAAGTCTCTGGACAGCCCGGACTCCGGTTTAATAGTACGTCTAGCCATTTTGAGTTGTGACTTCAGTTGCAATGCCTAGTTAAGATAACATAAAATCTGAAACATTCCGTATTGCGGATTATCCAGTAAGTTTATATGGTTTTTTTTTTACATGTCCTTGTTACTTTCTGAAACTTACACGTAATCCTAGATGGCGTGAAGTTTAGGTTGCATAATTGATTTCCAAAACTAACGAAAAGTAACACAAATTATGTGAATTGTCACGCCATGAAATATAAATGTTCATGACAATGAACATTATATAAACCAAACAAAAGTGACGGACGAACGAACTTCGATCGACAAGTTTTCCGCGAGTTCTCCGTGTTTCCTCAACCTCGCTACACCCTGAAGATGGACAAAGTGTCAGAAAATTCGGCAAAGCAATAACTGGTGAACACTACCTAAATTTATATTCTTTTATTAAACTTCGATCGACGCAGCCTACCCAACAGGGAATGTGCATCTATCTAGCTGTCATCTTTTAAATTCGGAGGAGAAGGTTCGGTGACTCTGGTCCGGCATTAGCTACGCGATCCTTGACAGCTTTACTCAAGAGAATCTCCGTGATGTCAGCTGGGGTCAGATTCTTGTTCTTACCAAGCTCCAAGGCTGCTACACCTGTTGATTATAATAAAGAAATACCAAATTAATCAATAATGTAATATATGTAATAATTGTGCCTTTCGTGATACAATCATTGCATTTGGCACACAGTCGGAGTAGGCTATGTCATGAGAAAGATTATATCTTTCTCATAACATACTTATTTATAAGGTATTTGGCTATAGGGCCATCGCAGATTTGTCCTTGGAACAAAATATAGGTAGAATAACAAACAGTAGTAGTCATTTTGAAATTTTGAAAAAATTGCTTGCCGTCATGAGAACGAAACATCTTTCTCAGTCATGAGAAAGATAATATCTTTTTCATGGCATACTTACTTATATATTATTTGGCTATAGGGCCATCGCAGATTTGTCTTTTGAAAAAAAATATAGGTAGAATATAACAAGCAAAAGTAGTCCTTTTGAAAATTTGGAAAATTGTTTGTTAATGTATACCTATATTTTTTTTTTAATAAGGACAAATCTGCAATGGTCCTATAAAGCCAAATATCGTGATCATGCATACTCTGACTGTTTGCCAAATTCCAAGCTTGTACATATCACCAACGGCACAACTCCCCCAAATATTTCCCCTATCTGCCCCACTATAGGTATCATGAATCCCTTGCTCGTATTTTCACCGCCCTTTCTCCAACGGGGACGGATGTTTTTTTCCAACCTACACTAGCGCCCTTGCCTTACTAGGATGGTGAGTACGAGCGAACATGAATCTCTTGTACTCACCAGCGACGTGTGGGCATGCCATGGATGTACCGCTCTTGGTTGAGACGTCTCGGTTTGATTCTATACCGGCGCTCAGGATGGAGCTCCCCGGGGCAAAGATGTCCACACAGGTCCCGTAGTTTGAGAAATAGGACCGGGCATCGGTATCTGTCGTAGATCCCACTGTTATGGACTGATACGAACGTCAAGGCATTTTTTAGTATTCATCTGTTTTTACCCATGGTAAGATCGGAAAAAACCACTAAAATGGTGGCATCAACATTTACATTTGCGATCTTATGGTGTATTTAGGCCTACACAGACACCAAAATGAAGAGGACTAATTGTCCTTGAGTTGTAAACTTATCTTCATTTGCAAACCGTACAACCTAACGGAAGAGAACCAAAAGAACAATAAGATACTTTAGTTAAGAAGATCATTATATTAGCCCAAGGGCGGATATTCTCTATCCACCGCTCCCAGGATTTACGTGCCGGCTAAAATGACGGTACAAAACTGACCACAACAGTAAAATTATGTTTTAAAACCATAGGACCTCAAATGAAAAGTTCACACTTGACATGAGCTCCAATTAGTAGGCATTTACCTTAGGAGCGCTTCCTGGTGATCGTTGACACGCTGGTATGTTGGCGTTGCCCGCGGCAACAACGACTGTAAAGCCAACGTTGAACAAACGAGACACCACGTTGTTTTGAGTTACAGAGAATGAGCCCCCGAGAGACATGGAAACGATAGCAGGGCTCTTGCCATTCTCAGCTACCCACTCCATAGCTGTGGAGAAAACAAACAGGAATGACCTGAAATATGTGCAAGTTTGGTGCTTCAGATAATAATTATGCTGGATGGGGTATCGATATCATTGCATTAAGCGCTGATTGGAGTATAAGCCCCCAAATTATTTTACCTGCTATAACAATAGACTTGGGAGTTCCACCGGAGCAAGCAAAGACCCGAACCGACCAGACATTAGCTTTCTTTGCCACACCGTAAGTCTTGCCAGCAATGGTCCCCGCGCAGTGAGTGCCGTGACTGTGGCAATCCAAGCCCGCCCTGCCGTCTTCTATGAAGTCCTGGCCAAAGAATGCTCGACCCTCGAACTCCTCATGGTCATACAGGATGCCCGTATCTATGACGTAGACGTCAACTCCCTCACCGTCACCTATAGCGATGGACAGAGTGAATGAATCAGGGTCCTAAATGAGTAGATCAACAAAATGTGGCTTCCATGCGCGATCAGGAATGTTGCGGGGTTTCCGAGACTGCTCTGTCTCCGGCTTATAAGAATCTTCTATCATCCTTTAAAGTCCAGACTAAAATAGAAATTAACGCTAATTTTGCAATTGTTTTCTTTAGGAGTCGTTCAAGTGAGGAGCCTAAAATCTCCTAAAGCCGAAGCGGGGACGAAGCAAAGTTCCCGATTCCTTTTGATTTTTCACACTCTAAAAAGCCCCGGATCAGAATTGACCCGAAATCCGAGTCCCATACGGGGCCTGACACTTTTCCAGGCCAAACTAATTGACTCCTTTTCTTGGTCATTTTGACCCGGGAAAGTGTCAGGCCCCATAAAAGCTAGATACTGGGTCAAATCTTTACTTCCTGGTTCGTAACTATCGTCGAGGGGGAGATCATTCTGATCTATACGGTCGATTCCCCAAGACCCAACATCATCAGGATAGACGTAGCCATCTTGCTCAACGTACTCAACGCCCTCCATGGAACGAACCTGAAATAGAATAGTTGGTATCGGTAGTCATATCCTTGATTCTTCATGACCCTTGTTTCCTATGTGTGATTATGTCTGGTCTTAACAACCTAGAAATAGAACCATTTTGGAGTAAAGGCAGCTGACTTCTTGACAATATTAGCGACCAAACTACTTTAGATGAAGGTCTTTTACTCCGACTTTCAATGAAAATTGTAGTCTATTGTTACCTAAAGCAAGCTTATGCTCTATAGTTAGAAATATTGCCTTCTATTTCTTTTGAATTTTTTTTTAGCATGAACAAACGGAACAGAAATTAACATTGGATTTCTATTACAAAATAAGCACCACCAGATAATGTTTCTACTTCCCATAGAAATTTAAAACCTTTTACAAATTTCATTCACATCGTTTTGCAATTCATTTTAAATGAATTATGTTTTGTAAGTATTTGGATTGGTAGTCGTAATTATAAAGCAAGTTATAGCCGTTGAAACTCACCATGTCAACCTTATCATGTGGAATAGCCACTACGATTGTATTGGACAAGGTCGAGGTTCTTTTAATTGCGTTTGGAAATCCAGATCTCTCAAGTTGGTTTTGGAATTGTCCATTGATAAAGCTCCGTGCGACACTGTCCTGTCAAAAGGTGCAGAGAAAAAGAAGAGGCATAATATTGTTCTTTGGGTCGACTACCAAATATTTTATGTGGGTTGAATGTGTTCTAAACGTCTAAGTTACGTATTCTGAAGTTAAAGCCGTCGTTTCAGATTTGTACCTTGATCTTGACGATGTAGCTGTTGGGAACAGGATCGTCAGTTTCATACAAAGGAGCCAATGGATCACAGCTAGCTATCGCCAACCACAGACATAAAAATAGCAAAGACTTCATGGTAGTTTTCCTACAAAAGATCAAAAGGTATTTTTTGTATACAATCAATCGAAGAGGGTGTATATAGCTTATGAGATAGACAGTTCTTAAATTAGAAAAGTCATAAATAAGAAAAGTCCTAATATTAGGAAAGTCCTAAGTACGAAACTAAACAAAGTGGGTTTAAATTTAATCGAATTTAATTTGGTTCAATTTAATTTTGAATTTATGACTAAAAGCGAGCATAAATTAGGAAAACAATTTTGACATTACTACCCCTTACAATTCAGTTTTTGATTTACATTAATTCCATTGATGCTGATGCGAAATTTCTGGATGGCCTAAGACTGTTACTAAAATATGTAACACGTGGACGTACTTGACTTACGTTTAAACTTGCACGAGCAACAAAAATCCTTGCTACCAGTCGTCTCCTTGTACCACAGAGGCTTTGTCCTTCACTTTGTTCTTGTGTTGTATGGTTATACTGACTCAAGCTGACACTGTACTAGTTTCTGAGTACAGAAATCCATAGCGGTCTACCAGTAACAAATAATGTATACGAGATAATTTTTGGGGGTTAAATTGAGTATAACTTCAACAGTTCCAGTCCGTGTCATTTGTCAAACAATTGACCTTTGGCATTCTTTTGTTGTCCTGCCCTTAAACTATACCATGAAAATACACTATGTGAGTACACGCTTTATCTGACATTCGTTATTTTATCAACTCTCCCTGCTCGGACCAACAAATCTCGAGTAAAGTTTCTAAACAGCGTACCGTTTACAGAAAACGCACAACTCTAACAGAAAATGTTAGTAGGTTAAGCTTGAACGAGAAAATTAAATTTGACAATATGTAAATCTATTGGCGGAGTGCACGTACGTTGCGCCGTTCGAAACTTGTAAACCAAAGTACATTTTGCACGATAGTTTCTTTCTATCGTAAAAAGTTATATGACCTTGATTACGCAGTTATTTGTGAAACTCAAATATGCTTATTAGTCAGTAAGATAAATATACATAACCTATTTTTGTGGTACCTGCGTACCCCGTACATCGGTTAACGATACATCGGTACAAAGGTTAAAGATGAAAACCAGCGCCCGATAGGTCTCACTGAAGTCCCGCACTATTGACTCTACATGGATTAGCTCCAACCATTATCAAGTCTGTTAGGGTCAACGAAGACGGCTGTGTTCGTGAAACGGTTTCTGTTGTGTGTTGAAGCATGAAAATACAACGAAGATCAGGTAAGAAAACAAACCTTACGTCTAAATTTTGAAAAGAAAAAACACATATAGGCCTATTAACATCGTTTTGTGTGCACTTTGCGCCATTTAGGTAAGTGTTTCTCATTCGCGAGGTGATGAGTTTGGGGCTTTTAAATTCGTCACTTTATCGGTTTTGCAGTAGATCTATTCCTGTCTCCGCTTGTAACATAGCTTAGTTCACTACTGTCGTTAATCTTTAATACCGTCATTTTCGATCGTGTCAATTATTTGTCGCCATGATCTTCATTACCTTACCAATTAAGGCATCATCTGATCAATAAACCATTTTACTGTTTTCAGCCATGATTTCTTGACTTAGGATTAGTTAACATGTAATGTTTATTGTTCTTGTGGAACTCATGCATTGTCTTTTCTTCTTTTAGTCATGAGTGTGCTGCTTCTTTTGTGTGCATGTTTCGCCCTGGTAAGCTGTGATCCGCTAGCGCCTTTGTATTACGATGAAGAACCGATACCAAATCGCTACATCGTCAAGATCAAGGTATTGTTAAAACAAACCTTTCATTTTACTTTTACTTGATTGATTCACAAATGTGTGACGACTGGGGTAACCATGCATATATGGCTCTGTGCTTGGTATGACGGCTTTCCCACAGTTCGTTTCGAATTCATAAATAAGCTTGTTTCTCATACCAAATGAGTTTTTTTCGACATGAGATTAACTTTGCAATCATGAAATTATTTACGTCAAAAATGAGAAGCTTTAAATTTACATCATGCAAACCAGCACATCTCTCCTGTCTCTGTCGACTATATTTGGTTTTCGCGAACAGGACAAGCATGCAAGAGCTTTTCTGAAAGGTGAATTCAAAGAGCAACTGACGCGATCTGGTTTTCCAAACGCCATCAAGAGAACATCTAACGTCTTCGGTATGGCAGTTGTGGATATGCCAGATGATCAAGTAGATTCGGTGAGTTTCAAGCACCAACAAGAAGTGCGCGAACAAGATCAAGAGGAAAGGTTTTTAAAAAGTGCTTTCGGTTGATATTAATAATTTTTACGGTTGGCTTATCTCGTGCAGAGGAATTGATTTTTCTTGATTCCCTGATTCTGATACTAGCTCTTTCTTTCTTGAATTGAGACATTTTGCTATTTAGTTTGTCTTACTGCCCGAATCGAAGTCTCCTTATCCGTTTAAAGGGCTCATAGGGGCCTACAATGTAATGTTTAATATGCAATCCTTAAAAATGCACCTGTTTGTCCAATTAAACCTTATTTTCAATTTTGAGTATTTGGTGCCTTTTTGGTTTTTGTGCTGATGAAATAAGCATATTCATGAGCAAAAAGGTGATGTCATTCCGGGTAGAAACCTCAACGTTACAGCTATTTCAGCACAAAAGTTTGCTAGAAGTTTGGATAATGTGCTGCAGTCATCAACATTTTTTTCTTTGGTGAATCGTTGTTGTGTAAGTACATCACAGTTAGCCAATGAGCAACCGTTTCTCACAAATGTTTTCAATGATCAACACTGTGGGTTCACAATTTGAGTAGAAACCCCCTAAACTGTACTGAACAGTGTCTTCCTGAAATGACATCATAGCAACAGCGCCCTCAGTTGTCCAGAAAAGAATGGAACAGTTTAAATGTTTAAAGACTAAAGTACGCTTTTCAATAAAATTAACCAAAAAGGGATGTCAAATAGTTTTCATACATTTAAGAGGAGTAGAAAGTTGGACAAGTTCATTGTAGAGACCATTTAAATTGGCATGGATTGTGGCCTGCAACTGCCAGTCTATTTCAAGCGGCTGAAAGATCCACAACAGCGTGTAGAATTAAGGATATAATTGTGGTTCACTTTATATTGCAGGTTCGTTCCATAGATGGTGTCGAGTATGTTGAGCAAGATGGACGAGTATACGCGGACGTCGTGGGATCGTGGGGACTGGACCGTATAGATCAGGACGATCTCCCCCTCGATGAAAAGTTCAACCCCCAAGGTTAGACAAAGATTTTAGCGTTGTTTGTCAGGCGCCCTAGGGGTTATTGGGAACCAATTTTGCGCTTGGGAGCAGTGGTGTATGAAAGAGGACTGCCCTGCAAACATACCACTCAAAAAAGAAGTTGAGAACATTTTCAAATAAGCCTACGTATATGTATAATCATTAATAATGGCTATAATGCCTCGCTTTATATAAAATTTGACTATCAACATTTCTAAACTTGGGCTAGGAGAATTGTATAGGCTACCGTCTTACCAGGGCCCCGACATGGGTCCGGTTTCCCATTCTACATGCACACCGCCGTAAAAAAAATGTTGTGAATATATTAATCATGTCATTATACGGTATCTTTATTGCAACATTCGTTAATAGGGTCTACAGAGAAGAGTAAAAGTTGTATCTCCCGTTTTTATGGAATGCGCTTACCACAAAGCCAAAAGCAGCCAAGAAACATGCAACTTTTTAAAGGAGAAAGACTGAATCCGTTGACATTTTAAATTAAATTTACTAATAAATGGTAAACCAGATTGTGACAATACTGTACCGTTACCAGCCATTTTGAAGGGAAAAAAATACGACTGACAGGATACAGCAAATCGAGCGGTGTAGGTGATGGTACACGACGGGGGAACGAGAAGTAAAAGCTCTGAGCATAAAGATAGGCCTAGGATGTGCTATTTATTTAAACACATTTTACTTATGCGTTGGCCTACCTTTTAAATCTTGGATATTTAAAAGCCAACTTTCTTTGGTTGACCAATGTCAGGTGACGGCACTGGTGTTCACGTCTACGTCATCGACGGGGGAATTCATTACACCCACGAGGAATTCGGAGGCCGCGCCCACTTCGCTTACGACATCTACGACGACGGTCGGGCGGGACTGGATTGCACGGGGCACGGCACGCACTGCGCTGGTACAGTGGGTGGGAAGACTTACGGGGTGGCTAAGAATGTCACTCTGTGGTCGGTGAGAGTGCTGGGATGCAGTGGGTCTGGAACAAAGTCAGGAGTCATGGAAGGTGCATATAGATATGAATTATTCTTTACTTTGAATTATTTTTTATCTTTAAATTAAAAAGCGCTTCAGGAGGAGTTGTGTTCAAGTTCTCAAATCACTAAAAGTCAATGGCATGCCGACCAGTGTTGAGTCAAATAACTAGCGAAACGTGTCCAAGTCATTGTGCCTCCAAGGCCAGTTGGTGGACTCACTGCGTTATTTGGAAGTGTTTTTATCGTTAGAGAAATTAGGACCGAGTAATCGGGATTTTCTGCTGTTCCCATAGCGTTTGCGGTCCCAATAATACCACGGGACATCAGTTGTGTTGTCCCGACAGTTAAGAATGTGCGACAGTTTGTTGTATCCGTATGTTCAGATTTACACCGTTTTTCCAACTGGTACTAGTTTCACTACAGGAAATGCTCCTTGGCACTTTTTTTGTGTTAGTAGTTATTTTAGTTCAACCAATCTCAAGCCATAATGATAAACACGACTTCTAGCTGGTAAACTGTAGCCAGACTAAGCAATTGTACTATTGAGCTCACCGAATTTCTGCGCAAACCAGCCCCATTTGCCCTTAATACCGATTCTCTCCCCCCCGTGTAGGAATGGACTGGGTTGCCGTCCACGCCAAGACTCCTACCGTAGTCTCCATGTCAGTCGGTGGTTCTGCCTCCACCGCTCAGAACATGGTGGTGGCCAAGATGCACAATGCGGGCGTCACTGTGGTCGTATCAGCGGGAAATAACGATTACTCAGCCTGTCGTAAATCGCCCGCAAGTGCCGAAAAGGTAATCTAATTCGGGCACTATAACTCTGCAGTACCTCGGTGCATGACGTTGGAACATATACCTATTATCTTCCGTATTAGGAAGGATTAAATCCTTTCTAAATCTTCATCAAAAGCTGTTGGGTGTCTCACCAATATCGTAATTGCCTCGATGAATCAAACAGTCAATATTTTTCTTATTTATTTTGTAGGCTATTACTGTGGGTTCCGTGACGAAAACCGACGCTCGATCATACTTCTCAAACTACGGCACCTGCGTTGACATCTTCGGTCCCGGTAGTTCCATCCTGAGTGCTGGTATCAAGTCCGACAGAGACGTGGCTACCAAGAGCGGAACGTCTATGGCTACCCCTCATGTCGCGGGTAACTTTCATTTGCCTCTCTCTATACACCCAAAGGCCTCTGGTGACGGCTAAGTACCTCGAAGGAAACGCAAAGCCTTTAGGGTATCTCACCACACGTGAAATGTTGATCACCAAGCAGTTTAAAACAAACTCTGTCCTTTGAGAGCACGAAGAAAATAGCACTCACCTGCCCTTTTGTAAAGGGCATATGCGCCAGGTAAATAAGCGAAAAGACTCACTAAACCGTGAAGTACAGTAAATGACGCTTTCCCCTTATCTAATTTTTGTGTGTGCACAGTAACTCAGCCTGGAACATTATTAATTTTAATTAAAAACTTTATTTTTGCCGGTAGTGATGGTGGAGTGGGGGGGGGGGGGGGGGTGGGGGGGGGGTGGGGGGGGGTGGTACGTGTCACCACTGTGGGGACAACCCTCCCCCGGCAACACATATAACTCCGCCCCCATCGCCATGCTTCTGTTAATCCAACCATCAGTGGCATAACTGTTATTTCTTTTTGTTGTTGCTGTCGTGGTCATTCTCAATATCAATAGCAATCTTCATCATTTTCTTTTCTCAGTACCAGGGTGAACCCCAATCATTCACTACCGCAACCATTAAAGATCTCTTTTCAATTTGCTACCCAAAAAGTCGATCTTTCTTAACTGGGTTTTCTTACGCAACTTCGTCAATGCCATTTTCTCACTAGGTGCAGCCGCTTTGGAACTGGGCAGGAACCCCAACTTGACCCCTTCAGAAGTCAAAGACAACCTGATCAAGAAATCATTGAGGGACAGAGTAGCCAATCCGGGACCAGAATCGCCCAACTTGTATCTCAGAATATAAAGAACCCGTTTGCATTGAGGTTTCCCTTGATTCAGTGTCATTTGCCGCTAATAAGATTGATACCGCCGATGGGGGGGGGGGGGGGGGGGGGGGGGGGGGTAGCGCTACCAACGATGGGACGTACCTCATTCCCATCGTGGACAGAAAGGTGCACACATCGCGGGCGAGAAAACCCAATGGGTGCACTGAACTAATTCAAGCGAGAATTTCTACGCCAGCTGATTAGCATAAAAAGTACCCCCACAATTTCTTTTGAAAACGGAGACCGTTTGGCTTTAAAAACGGTGGAATTGTTTAAATATACCCAAGAATCAACTCCCTGGTTTTGGGGCTTCCATCTGAGGGCAGGCTTGATAAAATCACGGATGAAAAAATGGGTCCTATTTGCCTGTGAAAGTGGAAGGGTGCCACTCTTCAAATGGCTACATTCAGGCTTGGGAACTATCACTTTTCGGGAGGTGATTTTATTTGGGTGTGAATATTTAAAAATGTAATTGGCTAATGTACGTAAAATTGAAAAGAAATGAAAAGATGAAAGACAAAACAATAATTTAATTTTTGTTTCCGAAACCCCAGTGATGTTGGCTTGCATGTTACTTGGCCCTGAACTTTGTTGATTTTACACTGTTTTCAATGGGGCTTGAATTAGTACAGTGGACCCTATAATAGGGTGCACTGAACTAATTCAAGCGAGAATTTCTACGCCAGCTGATTAGCATAAAAAGTGCCCCCACAATTTCTTTTGAAAACGGAGACCGTTTGGCTTTAAAAACGGTGGAATTGTTTAAATATACCCAAGAATCAACTCCCTGGTTTTGGGGCTTCCATCTGAGGGCAGGCTTGATAAAATCACGGATAAAAAATGGGTCCTATTTGCCTGTGAAAGTGGAAGGGTGCCACTCTTCAAATGGCTACATTCAGGCTTGGGAACTATCACTTTTCGGGAGGTGATTTTATTTGGGGGTGAATATTTAAAAATGTAATTGGCTAATGTACGTAAAATTGAAAAGAAATGAAAAGATGAAAGACAAGACAATAATTTAATTTTTGTTTCCGAAACCCCAGTGATGTTGGCTTGCATGTTACTTGGCCCTGAACTTTGTTGATTTTACACTGTTTTCAATGGGGCTTGAATTAGTACAGTGGACCCCAATGTACAACTCTGTGTATAAGCACGGGAAAGCCGCTGCGGTGATGGTAGAGGGCACAATACTGAAGTCCTCATGTAAGTTGATGGCGACCTCTACCGCCGCGGCGGCTCTACCGTGTTTGCCAGGGACTGGCTGTATTATTAAGGGAACAAAATCCAACGATCCAGTCGTGGCCTAAAGACTAGGGAAAACACTTTTCACAGGAGATTTTTTTTTGGGGGGGAAGACATCTTTGCGAGCACATGTGACACTGTTTACATTTTAATAAGACCAAAATGATCATGGAACTTGATTTTGTTTTTGTTTTACTGTTTCTTATCATATTATTGGTCGTTCTTTCCTTGTTTTACAGATTTTAGTACTTTAAAGACAATTATTTAAATCAAGTTAAAACCATGTTGGAACTAACTGTTTTTGATTTTGACATGTGTTTTTTTTTCAGTTTCAGGTTTTTATCAGTCTAGGTTTAACAAAATTGTTTGTTATAGCTGTTGGTGTAGTCCTGGTTTCATTTCTTGCGTTGTATACTTCATCATGTGTTTTCGTAACTTTGAAATTTTAACAACTCCCTCCTTAAAACAAATTTGAATCAAAGAATTGATTGTATTGTCGCTAATACAATTTCCTCGGGACTTTTCCCTAAAAGACCCTGAAAGTAGATTTTGGTTAGTTAATCCCCATTATACATAATTTCTTTTGTGAGAGTTTCCCAATGTACCATTTTCTCAGGAAACACGAGGAAATCTCCCAACTTGACTACGTCAACTGATGTAGGAGATATGAGTCAAAATATCAAACCAGTCAATACAATTCATAATGTGGGGACTGAGAACCAGAGGTTTGCAGACACCCATAGAATATGACGTTAAAATGAAACATCCTAGTTGAGAATTCGATTGAGGGAGAAAATACAGTCGAATTTGTTGATCATGAAAATTAAGTACATCGTTAATCACTATACTAGCTGAATTTGTTTCGTTCTTTGCAATTACGGTAGAGATCCCAAACCGGACAAACATTAATATATTCCACTTCTGGTGCAGACTGATGTGGGAAAAAGAACGGGAAGTTCACAACGTTTCCATGGGAACGTCACAAAGCACCTTCGCGTATAAACTTGACCTTTGACCCACGGCCATTATTCAAGGGAAGTGATTAAAATCTCGTTCTGGAATCCAACAAGATCTCTTAGTTGATAGCAAACAACACCCACTCCAACCCGTTGCCCGGCACGAAAATGTTTGTACAAAAGCGCGAAAGCCTATAATCCGCAAAACTATCGCCACGAAGATAACCTAACACCGAAACCCTTCGGTTCGTGCCTTTTCTCGACAAACTCACGATTGCCAGAAACATATATATTTCTGAAATTTGTCTTATAGTCTTCAAGGAAGAACAGTGCCCATTAATGAATATTTTTGTTCACTGTTTATAAACAGCTGCAACATCACTGCTGCTATACCTCCATGATTTAACGGACGAGAGACTAGGTGTACATGTACTAATTCATGCCATAGTAACAACGGTTTTAGCAGTCTAGAATAGTCAGTTTTTGTCCCTGGGGAAGATACTGCAATATGTTCACTCCAGAGATTTCGCGTGCACCCATGGATAGGATCATGTCCAAAATACTACAGGGTGTGCATTCTGAGACACTATAAGATTACAACGAGAAGGGTTATGAGGTGACATGATTTGCGGTACTCCGTCGACAGCAGGACTAGCTGTACACATTGTAGAAAAAAATAACCGTTCAGTTGAGTACTTGTGCAATTTAAAGCAACAATGACATACTTTTTTAAGTACAATACATATAGTTGCCATTATGTGAAATAATGGAGTTTACCAGCTACTCATTACAAAAGAAAAGCTTATTAACGAATATTATCCTTGTCATTTGTAAATGCGCATGATGAGTGCGCCAGCCTTGATATTGACATCCTCATGGCCTTTTAAAGATGTATTTCAGTGTTTTCTGTCATCCCGTGTTTAGACCTTCAATCTGAATGACTGACGGGTAGAGACCCGCCCTCTCCTCACATCAAAACCCTGTACGTCGACCCAGTTCGTATTTTTACGGGCATTTTAATTGCACATTGGGTGCTACAACTACATCATTTTCCCCGAGAACTTGAGAATTTGACGGCAAAGGTCAAATTCAGAGCAAATTGCTGCGCGAACAACACTGGCAGTTGGGTATATGGCAATGATTCAAGGGTTCCAAGCGGTGCGGTATCCTTTGGGTTAAAGGCCCAATCGAGTTGCTGATGGAGAGATTCTACAAGAGTTTCGATCGAATTTTTGGTGAGACGTATAACTGCGGCCCAGACAATATTCGGCATAGGCAACAGCCAGTGACATCAGAGACGCTTGACTATAATCGCTGGGACCATTTTGTTTTGCGGGCGGAGCTGGCTTGTCTGACGGACCGGCCGGTCTCATGCGAGTGAAGCTAGAAGTATAACCGTTACGTACACTGTTTCTTATTAGGGAGAGCTTTTCACCGCAAAGGAATATTCGCAGCGTGTGTTATTAGGCCTAAAGTATATCAGTTATGAAAAAAGTGCGGCTGTTGTTCATCTGTCGATATTTATTAGCATCTTGCTGATAAATTGAACGTGGGCCTTTTATCGATCACAAAACAAGTTAGCAAAGATTAATCGTCCTTTATGGAGGTTCAAGCTTTGTCACAGTGGTGACCGTGACAGTGGCTTTCGCGCACTTCGCAACGACACGCCTACACTTCTCGTTGTACGCTCGGTTCGGGTTCCGCAGAGCAGCGCGACGAGTGCGAGTGCAAAGTACTCCCCTCTTGTCACGGACTCGCCTTCGGGAGAGTTGCACGGCCAGCGTCCACATCGAGCAGCAACGTCACCATCATAATGGACCACTTGAACCGTCTTCACCCACCATCGAAAAAGACTACGCCTGCAATAGGTATTTTTTACTTTTTAAGTTTTAATTTATTCAACTCTTCCTAGTAATTAAACATTGTGTGTACAAGCACTGTACCTGCATGCTATAAGTCCCAAGAAAAACCTTTAAGTGAGAAGAAATCTCCGGAGGAACCCGTTGTATCATGTAGTGATTGAAAATCCGGTCCTCCGTCATATGTCGGCATTAGTTGGGGATTCGAACCAGGGCCGGAGAGGTTTGAAGTCGAGGGCTACGTCATTGCAAGCGGCCAATCAGACACCCAACTTTTCCCTTAAAAAAATCCGGAGCATCATTAACACCTGAATGGAAGTCTCCAGCTCTTGAGGCGAAATGACGTATTAAAAAAACAGTCTTGGAGAGATTGGCATTCGGTCAGTCAATATTTGGCTTTCAAAGTTCGGCGTTCGTCTAGTTCTTGCGGCAATCGGAATTAGCCGGTATTATGCCGAGTCACAAATAACACGACTATATCAGGGTGAGTAAAAAAAACGAAACCCAAATGTTGGGACCATTGTTTTAGGGAAGTTCTCCATGTAGAATTTTAAATTTTAAACACAACCGCAAGGCCTAATGTGGAAATCAAACCTGCGTACTAAAGGATTTTCCCGATGCTTCGAGGAATATTGCTATACGTTTTGCAGAAACACTATTTTGTATGCGAAAGTAGATTAGGCCTATGTGTGCATGTGTACGTGTTTGGGTAAACTTGTTTTGCGACTTACTTCAACCCACAAACCGATCAATGGAAATACACAATACAATACAGCCATATTCCCAAATCACCGCTCTGGTCGTGAGGGCGGCAAGGTCAGACTGTCAGGATGAATAATGAGTTTAATTATACGCTAAATGCGGAAGTCAGGAATACTATAATTGAGATTGTGCCTTGAACTTAAATAGAAAGTTTTGAGTTGAATTGCCAACCAATTTGCTCAAATAAAAGGTATGGGAAATCAAGGCTTTCGCTGTTAATTAAAGTCTTTGTGTAGGCAAAATCGTTT